GAGAACTAGAAAGGCGAGGCTCACCACCCATTTATCCCTCTGCCTTTCAATTAGCCCCACATGTGATCATCGGTCAGGTTGGCACAATTAACTAACTCACGGGGCCTCCTGAGTCGGGGTCAAGGAGACAGCCACTGGGGAAAAGAGGTGTGGGCATCCTCAGAACACCCCTTAGACACGAGGGTGGTGAGGCTCGAGCGTGTCCACTTCGGGTTAGTCAGCAGTCTATTGTCCTCACGTCCCCTCTGGCATACTACAGCCCCGCAGGGCAGAGGAGCGCTGTCCCGCAGGGTCTCCAAGTCTGGGGTCTTTACAGAGGGCACCACAGCTGGTGAGCAGAGCAGACAGTGCAGAAGGCCTGAGCTCCCCGCTCCGGAGCCTGGGCGGGAAGGCGCTGGCTTGGCGCTCAGAGACAACGCCTCTCCCCAGCTGTCTGACCCCGCACCTGCAGCCCAGCGCAGCCCCAGCCCCACGGAAGCCCTCGCCTGCCTACCTTCTCGGCGTGGTCCCAGTTTGTGACGGTCCCCCGGGAGAACGGGCGCTCCAGGTTAAGTTTCCCCTGGTTGCTGCTGGCTTCGGCCCCGATGAACCACTCCCTCTTCTCCAACCCGACCAGCGGACACTGAGAGAGACACGGCCCCCCAGGGGCCCATCAGACCTGGCAAGAGACTGGGTGGGGGATGGGGGTGGAGATGGGGAGGTATTGGGGGGTACTCCTGCAGCGCATCCATGTGTGTTCTTTTTTCCGGGCCCCCCTCACCTCATTTTCAGTCCAAATACATCCCTTAACGTAAGTCGATCTCGCTGGGAGCCCTGGTGGTGCTGTGGCTGGAGGACTCCTTTACTAACGGTGAGGTCAGCAGTCTGAGCCCACCAGCTGCTTCCAGGAGGAGGCCGCCCTGCCTCAGAGACAGAGCCCTGTCCCCATCGTGGCTGGGCACTGGAATCCACTCGGCCACGGGGCACTCGGCACACCTGCCAGCTTGCCAGCAGAAAAGCGGTGGGCGTTATCTGAAAGACCCCCCTCTCTCTGTGCAGGTCTAGAAGCCACTGTTGCCGAGCGTGCCGTGAGACGACAGCGCTCGTGTGCACTGCATGTGGGAACTCCCTCACTGCCGCCGACTCACAGTGACCCCCTGGGCCGTAGACCAGCCCTCAGAGTTTCCGAGACACCAACGCATTGACGGGTGCGGAAAGCCATGTCCGTCTCCCTCGGAGCAGACGGTGGTTTGGAACTGCTGACCTTGGGCTGCGCCGCAGCCCAGTGCAGAATCACGACGCTGCCCACCAGCACTCCTGCGCATAGGGAGGGACTTTCTAATCATGGGAGAAACAGAAGCCACACGATCGTGGTTCTCCTCGGCAGCATTTCCAAGCCATACGAACACACGGTGACTTTTGTGACAAACAGGCTGTAGGCATGTCCACCCCGGTCTGTCTGTCTGTCTCTGGCATGGTGCTGGCCTGTGTGCCCCTATGGTGCCAGAAGGAAGTCAGGTCATCCATATTTCAAACACCAGCAGGGCTACCCAGCAGAGCTTCCAGAGTAAGACACTCTGGAGAGACAAGCTTAAAAATCGGCTTCCAAGAGACCGCAGCCTTGGAGCCCCAGAGAGCAGCATTTCTTCCCTGAACACAGTGGGGGGGTGGGGGGGTGTCACCAGGTGTCCGAGTTGACTCCATCGCCACCATCATCACCCCAACAATCAAGGGAGCCGCCACCACCACCCAATATAGAACATGTTTATCCCATTCTGAAAACACCATGTCTATGGGCACATACACACCCCGGCTCCGCTCCCCACTGTCCCCCAGCCCCTGGTGGCCACTCATCTCCTCTGTCTCTGTGGAGCACCCGTGCCAGTCACTTCAAATCAGCAGACCATGTGTGGTGGCCTCTATCACTGACTGCCCTCTCAGTCAGGTTAAGGTGAGTTGGCAAGAGTCACCTACGCTGCAGCTGTCTGAGGACCAAATTCCTGGGGACAATGGCTTAGTATGGACCCTCTATCCAGAGTCTGAGGCTCCCTGGAGGTGCAGCAGGCTGCGACCCCCAAAGTTAACAATTTGAGACCATCAGCTGCTCCACTCTGCAGGAGAGAGACGGGCCTTTCTCCTCCTGTCAAGAGTGAGTTAGGAGCTCAAATCTGTCTAAATCTCATGCATTGACAGAGGGTGGGGCTGTGGCAATGAAGTGCTTGGGGCCGTGGGAGTGCTGAGTGGCCAGGGCTGTGTGCCCACTTGGCCTGGGCCAGGAATGATTCTCAGTGGTTTGGCAGCTGTGCCACAAGGTACCCGCCCTCCATTCGGGGAGGATGTGATGTGATTACCCTCCACTGGGTGGCTTGTCTCCAGGCCTGCAGTTATGGACGGCCCGCTGGGGCATGAGGTAGCCCTTGTGGTCATGGGGGCAGGGTTAGGGCTGGAGTGTACCATGAGTCAACACTGTGCTCAAGTAAGTGGGGTTCCCTTCCATCACCCTAAAAAGAAGCCCCGCACCCACTGCGACTGCAGCTGCTCCCTGGAGCTACCCCTCTCCCCAGTTCCTGGTAAGCGCCAGTGAGCTTCCTGACTGCATGGATTTGACTGTGTGGCCGTTTAACTAAGTGGCCTGCTTCATCGAAGGCCTCTGTCCCTCACAAGTCCACCCAAGGATGTCGGAGAGAGGTGCTCCTGGGCCAGGGGGCGGGGGTGGGAGTGGTGGCCCAGGGATGACTTCAGAAATAAATCCCCCGGCCTTTCTTCCGAGGCACAGCCTCTGATGAGCAGCCTCATATGTCTGCCCCCAGGGCCTCCTTGCCGAGTCTTTGGCACTCACACTGTCCCAGCAGCCAGAGCGGGGAGGAGGGCAGAGACAGGAGCTGTGCAGCCCCCAGGCCCTGCTGTAGCACGGGGCCACACACACAGGGTCTGACTCGGACAGCCCTGGAGGAGACGGGTGGGGCTGCCTGGGCCCTGGGGGTGGCAGGCATCACTTACCCTGTGCTTCAGTGTCCCGAGCAGGGTTGGGAACACCACCAG